AGTCCATTTGGGATGCAGCTGCTGCTGCTGCACACACACCTGCCGGCGTATGCGTGATGCAGCTGCCTTGCATATTGCGCATACGTAGCGTGTTAAGTGCTCATTTGCATGCGGCCAAGAGTTTCCGCTCGTTTAACAAACTCAAAGATAACTTTATCAACCATTTACACTTCCACAAGCAGCCCAACACAACCGAAAGTTATCATTATTATTTGCTTAATTATGAGCGAAAGGGAGAGTCTGGAGTCTGTCTTGTCGCGGGTATCATTCATCTGCTATCTGCCATCTGCAGATGGCCACTTAAGCCCTGCACAGACCAGACTAAAGGACACCGCCTTATGAGCCATAAGCCAATGTAAACCCTTGCCCAGGGGGGTGGGGCAAAGGGCATGGAGGCCAAAGCCATTAATTTACAGCAGCCACGGCCAACACACGGATATACTCGTTAAGCTCTGCAACACGATGCCCCAGTCACCCAGTCACCCAGCCAGCCACCAACTCGTCTCCCATCCCCGTCCCCACTTCGGTGTCAATGTACTCGCATGAGGCGACACATCCCAGACCCATTCGAGCTACCCTTTGTCCCTGGCTATACGTAATTATGCAAATGCCCAGGCACAGCTGAGGGCTGCCGGAACCCTTGTCTGCTCCCCGGTTATCATTGTCAAATCGAAGTTTAACAGGAGCAAAAAGGCTGCTGCGCGGTGTGTATCGAGATTGAATACCCTAACGGACCCTGCTCCGAAATCAGCAGCTTCCATCTGGAACTCTATGCCGGAAGCTGTAATTGGACTGCAGTTGTAACAGGCCCAGAACGTCCTGCCTGTTGTGTGGCAAACAACTCGATAAAGTTGAAGTATCCGCTGGCTCTACTCTGACTCTAAAGAGAGCAAAAATAAAAGGCAAAGGCCATCAACGTTTATTTAGGTTTATGCTGCTGCCACATTAAGTATACGACACGTGTGGTGTAATTCGATTTGAGCTAGGAAGTAAATTTATGCTGGAAAAAAAAAAACAGTGAAATTTACAAGCTGCAAGTGCGTTTGTGGGCCACAACAGTGGCAGCAAGGGTTGCGTGTTCCGCCTATGAGTGGCACATTTAAAATTAATTAAAACTAATAACATTTTGCAGCACTTACTGCGGACACATGAGCAGCTCGAGTGACGCCATTTTGTCGTGCATTGCATAATTAAAAGGCGCACAAATGGCAGGCCATTTCCGGTGCCCAGCTGGGGCATGGGAGCGCATTACTTGCTTTCATTTAAAGCCGCCCTACACCTTACATCAACTCAAGTTTTTGCCTCGCAACGCTGTCAAAAAGTTTTAATTTGAAGCGGAAACGCGAGATGAGACCCAAGGCAGGCCTGGCCAGGAGTCCGCGTCAGCCCCACAGCCAGATTGGACATTGTCCTTGTCCCCAGCTTCCGGCCTTTCCTTTTGAGTCCCTTCTAGTGCAAAAGGAGCCCCTCGACAAATCATATTTAGCCTGGTAATTATTTATATTCGCATTCTCTGGCACATCACCGCCAGCATTTGGTTTCATTAAAATCGTAAATCTAATGGCCTGCCTGTGCCTGCCTTTTGGTGGCGTTGTCTGTGGTCAGAAATGATTTGAATTATGGCATATTTTGTGGCAGCAATAGGAGAATGCAAAGTGGGAAAGTGGAAACTGAATGCTGGATTTTAGCACCTGATTTTGTGAATAAATTTAATAATTTAGTTTTGTATTTAATTTGAAGTTCCCATTAAAACTTTGCGCAGTTTTCGCATTTTGAAAGAACAACAACTTTCGCAGGCAGCCGCAAATGTTGCAGCGTTCTGCGCTTGATGTGGCAAGGAGTTTGTTTTGCTGCAAATAATAATAATAAACCAATCCCCCGGCATTAGGTGGCATTGGCTCTCTTTCGCTGCCTCAGCTGTTAGGTAAGCTCTCAAAGAAGCGAATTATTTTCCCTTGTCTGGGGCTGCCCCATGGCAACATCAAAGCTGGCAAAAGAGGGACAAAAGCGGCAAATGTTATCTTCCTTTTGATATCGAATAAGCCATTTGCTGGGTGCTGCTGGGTGCTGCTTGGTGCTGGCGCAGGTGTTCGATCTGACCAAAAGGTCACACGCCCAAAAAGGTCACAAGAACCCCAGAAGCTTGACCGGGATTGGGAGCCGGAACTCGAACTGGAACTGGAACTGGAACGCAGCTGATTTACATCAGTTTAATTAGTTGCTTATTTGCATAAGCCGTGTGCACGGCAGAGGATACTCAGAGGGTACACAGTCGGGACAATCGGGAACATGCGTAAAGCTATTTGTTTAGGCCGTGTTAGGGTTTTTAATCATATTCTATCGGGAACTACTGCCCTCCCACACACATTCCAAGGGACTACGGTAAAGCCCTGGGTCTTTGCACCATTCTCATGGTCACTGTGAATTTATGGCTATTAGGTTTGGCACTTTTTGGCAGCCCATTGTGAGCCTCGTCCACCCACCTCCCCCGACGACCCTAATGGCTTATTACGATTATTAATTCATAACCCGGCAGCAGCAGTCGTGTAGCTACAAACATAATAACAACAACTACGCTGGCACTCGAACGACACCACACGACACGAAACAAACAGGAACAGGAGCAGGAGCAGCAGCAGTCTCCCTTTTATTCCCTTACCCATCCTGGGGCACACACTCACTTGGAGTTTGGTGCGGTTCTATATGCGATCCTGACATGCCAACAGATGGGACATTAAACATGACGATTGCTACACGGCAAGAAGAAACGTTCAAAGGCGGAAAGCTACTCAGATTAGGATACACATAAATGAGAGTTCTAGAAGTGAGAGTAAAGTTCGTTTACTGCTAGAACTATGAGTTTAATGTCTGCGTACTTGGAGTAGCTGGAGAATATTGACAGAAATGATGGGAAGTTATTTAGTTACTGAAAAATACACGAGGGACAAGAGCGAAAAACTGCTTAAAAGTAATTTTTAAGTAGTTTTAAACCTTTTTTAAACACAAAATTCACCTAACACAAGACGTGTTTTTATTTGATTATTTATTGTTTTTGACTGCATTCCCCATCAATCATTTTTTTAGGAGTAAGGAAATGTTTAAACTGTAGCCTAAACACCTTAGAACTTGTGGCTTGCTCGACGCTAAAACAGTAGCTATGCATTTCGAATTATTTTATAAAAATCATTGTTAATTTCCACAGAAAATGTCAACTGATAGGTCAATCAGTAAATGTTTTGCCACAGTGCCAAGTATGAAAATACAATAATTATTCCTGGATACAATTTCGAATCAAAACCAACAATCAACGAATGCTCAAATGAGCATTGAGCTGGCGTTGACCCATTTAAACATAGATCTAACATTCAGAGGCAACAAAAAAAACCCTTTTCTAGTTTTAGATTAACTTTTCTGGCATAAAAGTAAAGTTTTTTGCCAGTGTTCGTGCCATGTGGATTTGCCGGCTGGGATGGAGCCGAAAGCGTGTTGCTGCTGCTTGGTAGTGGGTGCGTTAACCAGGCCAATAAAACATGTCCCCGGCTGGTTGTGGTCCGTGGTCCGTGGTTGTTGCTCCGTGTTGCTCTCCCTCATGTGTGTGCGTGCTCCTGAGAGTATGCAACAGCTTTGGCTGGGCTTCTGTTTCCGTTTCCGCTGCTTTGCTCTAGGTTCTAGGGCTGTCGTTTGTTGATTTTGCGGCGCTAATAAACCACACACGCATCCCATGCCGCACTCTCTCTCTCTCTAGCTCTAACTCTCACTTGAATCCCGATGCTCAACTGAAGATAAAAATATAATTAAAAATTGTTGTTCCTACGGCTGTGGGCCGCCGCTTTTGCCATTTGGGTGGTGCCGACATAATTTACACAGAAACGAAAAAAAATCCTGTTTAGATTTTTATGCGCTACGCGTGACTCCCTGCACAGACACATCATCGCACTTACGCACAATTTACATGTGTGTGTGTGTGTGTGTGTGTTCTGTGTGTGTTTGTTTTATGTGTCAGCAGCTCGGCTTGGCGCGGCTTCGGCAGCTCTGTTTTATTTTATGGCCCTGGCCTGCCAACCGCCCGTTAATATTAAGCAGCTTGAGCCTGCCGTGCAGCTGTTTGTGTGGCGTCCTTCAATTTAATTTGGTAGCCGGGCATCGGGACTTACATTTGATTTGCCCATTTAATTGAAATGCCAAAACTTTTACTTACACGTTCGACATTTGCATAATTTGCACTCACTCTGGCCCTCTCCCTGTCCCTGTCTCAGTGGGGGTGAGCTCCTCACTCTGTCGCTCAATTAGAGCACATTGTCAAGGCCCCAAAATTTGATCGAATTAGTACAGATTTTGGCGTAATTAATTAGGCAAATGGATGCCCCATGTCCATGTGGAATACTCCACAAAATGAACATTCAACCAGACTTGAACCAGACCTCTCGCAGCATTTCATAATATGCATTTTGAGTTTACTTTTTGCTTTGTTTTTGTCTGCTCTCACTTTAATTAACCGACATTTGCATTAACTAATCGAAACTAATAACTAAATTGATTAAAATTGATTAAAAAATTGATTAAAATTGATTAAAAACTTGATTAAAATGCCATTCGAAAAATCGATTGAATTGCTTACTAAAAATCAACTAATGACAACTTTTTGTGTGTTCTTTTTATATTCTTTGTCTCTTTCCATCAACTAAAACCAACATCACGCACACGCACACCCACACCAACACACAACCACAACACACTCTCTCTCTGTCTCTGTATCTGTCTCTCTCTCTCTCTCTCTCTGTCTGTGCTCCTTCAATTCGATAACAAAATGATGTGTCATGTTAACTTTTTGTAACGTGTTTTCGTTTCCCCCAAACCAACAAATCCAACTGAAATGTCTATGCGTTTGTCACGTAATTATGTTATGTCCTCCCACATCGAACCACCCACCCACACACCACCACAACAACAACAACAACAACAACAACAACAACAACAACTATTATATGTAACTACAACAGGCTCTTGCGCGCTGAATTGTATTCACTGAGGCGCAAGGGTGCGGCTAAGGTCGTTGGTGGAGGAGTGCAGCCACACGATGCCACACAACAACAGCATACAATGCAGCCAAATCAACAACAACAACAACAACAACTACAACAGATCGAACAACACACGAACAACCAAAACGCACACAACGACATGAGTCGTCACTGCGCTCGCTGCACCACCGAGCTGGGCCGCATCACAAACCGCGGCGCACCCTGCCGCGTCTGCAAGCTGCGCGTGTGCAAAGCCTGTCGCGAGTTCACCTCGCGCACCACGGATTGGGTGTGCGTGGTGTGCTACAAGCAAATGTAAGTCTCTCTCTCTCTCTCTCTCTCTCTCTCTCCTTTCTCTCTCTGTGTGCCTCTCTGTGTTTCTCTCTTCTGCAACTGTAAACTCATACAAAAAACAAAACGCACACACGAAATCGAACTAAAACTAAACAAAATGAAATGAAACTTTGCATCCTTGGTGTTAATTTGTGTTAAGGCATGCCTTTGTGTGTGTGTGCTGCTGGGCAGAGAATATACCCTGTAAAAAATACCTCGCTAGAGCGGTTCTGACTTGAGACGAGTCCCCCAAAGCTGACTTTATTGCATACCCAGTTCATGATGTCATTCATTAAATTCATATAAATTATGACCTTACTTACGATATCCGGTATAAAATATTCCTAAACCCTCCAGACAAATCCATTTTGTATCATAATCAATAAGGGTCCACTTTCTAGTCTACCTGTAGCATAAATAAATAAGAAATACTAATGGCAACTCCAACTTTAGAGGCTATTCCATAGTCACACGCTCCCCAAGTTAACAGTTCTGGCTCCCCGCTCCTATTCTAATACTTTTTGCCTGCCTTAGCTTCCCATTTGAAGGTCTGCCCTCGACATTGTTGAGCAAACATTGCAATTTTCATTGTTGCAATCTAATCTTAGCTGGCCAAGAAATTGTCACCCGAGGCTCGCAGTTCTCTGGAGCGGCTTTTGCCCCGCGAATGGGGAAAACAATGTACGGAATTGGATATGCACAATGGAGGCATCAGATCTCATTTCCAGATAAACGAATTTTATGCCACCTTCGAATTGACGGGCGAATCTCAGATGGAGGAGTACATCTGAAACTCTGAGATACTGCTGCTTTGGGCAAGGGCATGCCGCGTTTGTGGAAATTTCCAATTCCATTTCCACGTATCCACCGCCGTATCCATGGGCATATCAGGTGCCACAAACACACTCACACACAGACAGACAGATTCCCGTCAACTGATGCTCGCTGCATGGCCTGATGTGGCAGATTTCCAGCTCGTTTTTTGTTTGGTTTTCATTTTTGGGCTTTTTCTGTTTGCTGTTTGCTGTTTGAATATTTTAAGCGTTTCGTTTCCGTCTGTTTTTTGGCAGGTTTTTGTAATCGCATGCACTTTTGCAATTGCCCAAAACGATATGTGAAACTGTCAACAAACATCACAAAAATATTCCCAGTCCATCTGCACATTTGAAATTCAATTTGCACGTTTGATGACATTTGTTTACCCTTTGGGTTTATTTTGTGTGCACAAAAAGAGGCTCAAAACAAGGCCCTTGAAGTTCAAGGAGTTTCCACAGCTAGTCCAGCGTTCCTTATGGCTAACATTTGGCAACTCCTGTGCCATTTCCCCATTTGAAAATTACACATTTTTAGCTCACTTGGTGGCTGAACTTCGGGCCGCATTTGGCAACAGATTTGTTTTGCTTTCAGCGGAGAGTTCAGTGTTCAGTGTTAATGGGCAAGGCCACGGACGGAGCAGAGGCATTTGTGTAATTAAAACTTGGCCAACTTGTGTATGTAAATTTCCCCTGGCAAGAATTCAACGGGTCGCCTACAGGTGCCTGCCATTTCACGCCTTCCTCCAGCCAATCATCGACTGTCAACACGGATGACGCACTCCAAATTTGGCTGCCTCTCCGTGTCTTGCTGCAGCTGCTGCTGGTTAATAGTGACAGCGATGAGCCCAACCCAAGTGTCGGGAAAACGATGGAAGGCGTCAATTGTTGTGGCTGTGGCTGCCTCTTGCAGTTGCTGTGGCTGTTGGCTGCCTGTTGTGTGTCTGAGTTTGGAATTCATTTAACAAGTCAACGACTGACGATCTTCGGCTTCGGTTTCGACTGCGCCCCCAATCAAACGCGACGAGGCACAGTGGACTATTTCTCTTGCAGCAAAGCGTACACAATTATTTGTTAATATTTTATTCATTTTGTTACAGCAAACAGCACAGAGCCCTTGGGGGTTTTGTCTTGCTATTAATTATTATTTTATGTTTTTCGGCGCTGAGGTTTTTCCCCAGAAATAAGAGCCCAAGCCAATGTGCGGCTGGTCTGCCCTTCCAGGCCCCGTTTTGCCTGGTCCACACCTTGTGTAGCCGCCGTGTTGGTGGAGCTGAAGCTGCCACAAGCAACGATTCGCTGCGGCAGTTAGTCTGCCTGGTGCCGCTTCCACGGGCAGACGTTGAGTTTGCGTTGAAAAATGTTTGTCGATGTTTTTTGGTTTCTCAAATGGCAATGTTGTTGTGCTTGCAGGGAGATACAGAGCGCCAGCGGTGACTGGATCAAGGACGCCTATGCCGTGGGCTCCTGCAGCGCCGTGGATCATCTGACCACCAGCGATGCGCTGAGGAAGAGCATGCGACGTTCCTGGACCATATCGAGTGAGTAGCCAAAGAATTTGCCACACACTTTTACTCATCTTTCCCCCCTGTTAACAGACCCCGAGGACGACCCGAACAATCCGAACTCCCAGCAGCCGGTGGCAGATAATTTGTACCCACAGCAGCAGCATCTCATTGAGGCACAGTCCGCTGGCAGCTACCCGACCCTGCACCAGCATCAGCAGCATCAGCATCAGCTGCCGCAGCAGCCCCGTGCCGCCCACGGCCTTGGGTACAACAGCGGCAGTGCCACGCCCACGACCAGCAGCAAGTGGCAGCTGGGGCGTCGTGTCCTGCGGCAATCCACGCTGCCGAGCACCCTCAACAACGACCCCAACCTGAGCGGCAGTGGCTCCAATTTGGCCAATTACAATTCCGTGAATCTCACGGCGCCCACATCGCCGCATCAGCACCAGAAGAGTCCGCTGTATCCGGGCGCCTACAACAGTGACGACATCATCCACATGAACACGGCAGCCGGAGTGGCAGTGTCTGTGGCAGGCGGAGACTGCGACAACTACGCACAACAGCAGCAGCAGCAGCAGCAGCCACAGCTGGAGGTCACGCCCACGCCACATCGTCTGCAGGTGCGGCGACAATCGACGCTGCCAGCACAGCCCACGCCAGCCATTTACATGTCCACCTCCCCGAATCGCTACAGCCGCTCCCCGGAGCGCTCGCCCGGCGAGCAGCAGCGCTATCCGCCGTTCATGCGGCAGACTTCGTTCCCAGAGCCCCCCAGCACCTATCACCGCACCAAGCTGCTGCCCAGCACCGCCAATCTGCCGGCATCGCAGGCCCAGCAGCCAGTGCCAGTGTCCGGCCCAGCGCCGCCCCTCAACTACGAGTCGCAGGCCTCGAGCATGGCCAGCGATGAGCTGGACTACACACAGCCCCCGCAGCAGCAGCAGCAGCAGCAGCAGCAGCAGCAGCAGCAGCCGGGCGGACCGCTGCCCAAGCCACGAATGACGCGCCAGGCGACGCTGCCCAATCCGGAGCAGCACGTGAAGCTGCTGCCAACGTCGCCGCCCAAGCGGCAGACCTCCCCGCAGTATCGCCGCTCGCCGGAGTTTATGCGGCAGCAGACGCTGCCCAATCCGGAGGCCTTCAGCAGCGGCAACACCCTCACCGTGCACTCCACGCCGCCCGCCAAGTTCATGCCCATCTCGCCGCGGGCCAAGCAGAACTTTCTCTTTCCCAATGTGCAGAATCCGCGGCCCTTCCTCTCGCAGCAGAATGTGCCCACCGTGGGCACCACGGAGCTGGGCAGCGGCGGCAGCGTGGCCAGCACGGGCGTGGGCGTGGGCGCTGGCGAGCAGTACTCCAGCAGCCAGAGCGTCAACATCCACCACTCGCGGGATCCGCACTCGAAGATGATCAAGGTGCGCAGCCACAGCAACGAGGAGTACTCGAATGCCAAGACGCACGTGGAGAATCGCCGCCTGCTGCCGGAGATACCCACCGTGCAGCGGGCATCGAGCCGCTCGCCCAGCCGACTGGTGCGGCAGGATTGCCTCAAGGAGGAGCACGGCTCGCGCACCTTTGGCGAGGCCAAGCAGCAGTTCCATCAGTTCCCCGACGTCACCGAGGAGCTGGAGCCCAACCGCTCCGAGTACGTCGACTACTTTGGCGACAGCTCCAGCAGCTTCCTCGAGTCCGACGAGGTGCAGTACGAGAAGAACTACAACGCGGGCTTCAGCAGCGAGCCGCGGATCATCTACAACAATGGCTCCGACGATGGCAGCTACAAGCAGGCCCACCAGCGTCCCATCTACAGTGCGGAGAACGTCCTGGCCGACTCGGGCTATGGCGGCGGAGGCCTGGGTGTCGGTGGCATTGGTGTGGGCGCTGGCGTGTCCAACTACTACCCGGACATGAGCACTCCCCAGGGCTTCTATGGCGGCGTGGCCCTGCCCCGCACACCGCTCATGCACAATCGCCTGCGGCGCCGGCAGTCGCGGGAGCTGCAAATGCAGCAGGAGGAGCTGGCACAGCTCTCACAGGTGGAGGCCAGCGGCGGCGGCGGCGGCGGCGGAGGAGTCGAGAGTTTCTCCATTGCAACGGGCGGCACGCTGGAGGTGAGTGCCGCCGAACGCCGCAAGCCGGAGCAGATGCGTTCCGTGTCGGAGGATTCGGGTGCCAAGACCACGCCGAAGCCCGTTACGCGGCGCTCCTTCTCGCATCCCGAAAAGGACACTCAGGTGGGTATTCCTTTGGGTCCAGCCAATCAGCCAACCATTCTCAAATCTCTAATCTGCAGCCACCCAAGAAATCGGAAACCACAAAGATACCCAGCCCCCGACCGCTGGCCGACATACTGGACAAGACGCGCAACTCGAAGATACCGCAGGCGCGGCGACGCAACAGCCGCACGGGCATCGGCGGCGAGGCGGAGGATGGCGGTGAGTCACGTAGCAGCTTCAGTTCTCAGTAGCGCTTCTCACGCATCTGTAGAACCCCCCCACCCCAGAGACCGCAATGATTTCTAGTTACATTTTTACATCTATTCACTTATCAGCTATACATAAATACATAAAACCATGCATCACGTACATTATGTATACATTTATGATTCATTTTGTAGTAATTTGTATCCTTGCGGATATTTGTAGTTGCCCCAAGCAAGGGCTAACAAATCAAAAGTAGTTTTGCACCATTCATAAAATATGCAAAAATATATTCACGAGTAAAACTAATTTCCATCAACATTCATTTATCATAAAAGCAACAAAACAACAAAGTAATGCCCGCAATTAGAACACTGCTTAAACACATATTATAAAGCAACAAAATGTACAACTAAATAACAGAGATTAGCCTGGAGTAGAATATTATATTAAAATCATATTCATCATCGGCTTATAGATACTCATGAATAATATTAGACATTTGCCAAAGAACTGCCACTAGTAGTAGTTGTTTTTATTTGCCTGCTTCAAGTAAAGTGTATAGCAAATCAATAGTAAATTTGTTGCGGTCTCTGGTAGGTACATCATAGAACTTGTTTTTGTAGCTGCAGCTTGTTCCGGCACCCTTATTGATAAATGCTTTGCACCCCATTCCCCATTAACCAACCCACAGGTAGCACGCCCCAGCACATTTACTCCTTCCATCAACAGCTTATGCATAGAAACTCTGATTTAGCCATGCGTCTGAAAAAAACAGAAATTCCTCCTGTCACCACAACAGTAGCCAGCGCCGAGGAGAAACCTCAGTCGCAGCCAGAGTCCGATTCGGGCTTGGGCACGGAGCAGCCGTCCAACGGCAAATCCCTTGAGCCATCCACGGCCAACACGAAAGCCAACGAGGCTTCGAATGCCACATCGGTGAGTAGCTCCGTACTGTAGGCCCCTACTGTTGTAGGCAACTTACACCGTCCTTCCTCTATCCCCTTTAGGGCGCCGCACACACCAGCAAGCTGGGCGAACAGGAGCTGCAGAATGCAGTGGAGGCCGCGGCGGTTGTCTTCAAGAAAGTTGTTCTGCAACGGCGCCAAGAAAAGGAGAAGGAAAAGGCCGCCGAGGAAGGTTAGTACTAATAGCCCTCTTCATGTATCCATCTATTCGTATATGTGTATCAAGCGTAGTTTGTATCTGTATCTGCATCTGTGTGTGCCTGCCTGGGTGCGTAATTAACTTGGTGATGGTAATGCTGATGCGGCTGATGCGGCTGGTGGAGGGCGAAAACTATTTGTGAAGGGGTTTCATTTTTCGTCTAATTTCTACCAATTAATTGAGCTCTCCCCTATCCTCTTGGTTGCCACCTGACTCGGCTGTCATTGTCATGATCTGCTCCTTGAGCCACTTAAGCAGCAGCCACACCAAGCACGAACATGGCTGCGAGCTACCAGTTAACATGTGCTTGGTTAATGCTCATCCAATTGGGCTTGAAATTAATTGAATCTGCGCTTAATTGACACATAAATCTAACTAATATGAGGTGTAATTATTTGGCATATAAATTGTGTGTTCCTTCTCTTAAGGACTTCTACGACTTGCACGCTTTAAAACTTAAGCAGAACTTTACCTTGGAGACCCTGCAGCAGCGCCCTCTTTGCCTTTATTTTTCTTGCTGTGGGCGCACCCTAAAAGTATTCCCTACGCTCTTCACTTTCCCAAAGGAGTTCCCCAAAGTATGCAGCACGTTTTCGCCCCCTCTCTGTCGCTAGTCATCGCTCTCTCTCTCGCTCTTTAGAATTTCTTTAAAGCAATCAGCGACATTGCCAGCCGCCGCAAACAAATTTAAGAGCCCGTGCTGGCGCGGTTCAAAAGATTTGGGACACAGGGCAGAAATAAATACAGAAAACTGTGCCAGCGGGCGATGGTGGTATCATTTTTTACCAGCAGCAGCAGCAGCAGCCAGAGCAGCAGCATTTCTGGCAATTCATATATCGATTCGATAAACTCTCGCCCACACGCACGCACTTCACCAGTCAGCGTCGAGAGCGTTGGGAGGATTTTTTGTGCAAATTGTTTGGCGTGGAGGGGGAACTCCTTTGCCGCCTTTTGTTATGTTTCAATTTGCAGCGTTTGTGGGAAGCCGTGTCTTTGCGGAGTCTGTGACCGCTGTCAGCCAAAACATACGCCACGGATGACGACGAATAGAGCGGCACAGGCTGAGGATGAGTCGGTGGCCCTCCGGCGCTGTCATCGCCCACGGACAAACCAGAGCCTTTGCCCCAGCCACGAGACTGTCAAAAACTGTACGGTTAATCTTATCTCGCGCACCTTTTGTGTCCCTGTGGGTTCTCTGAATGCCTGCCTAACGGTCCTCCATTCACATCCTGCCACCCCGCGCCAGAAGCGGGGCCTGGGAAAGGGTTCGGCTCGGTTCTGTTCTGTTCACAGTACAGTTTAAATATTTGTTTTGCGGCTGGCAGCGATTTGGCAGCAATGTGCATGCACAAGCACTGGCTTGTGCAGTTTCTGTTTGCGCAGACACAGTGTGTGTACGGACATGACGCTGCCAACTTTAAAAGCTTTTTGGCAAATTTGTCCTAGTCCTTGTTCAGTCGCTCCATCAAGGGTTCTGGAACGTTGTTGCCAACCTTATGGAAAATTGATTGATTCAAGAGGGTGCCAAAATGTGAATGTATTTTAGCTTGATTTGGATAGGGCTAAAATATGTGCCAAATATCACATTTATCTGTTCACAATTTGTATTCCAGACTTACTTTTATCTCTCAATTTCGAGATTAATTACATTCTTCTGTACGTGTCTGGCATCGTTTTTTATTTCATTCTCGCCCACTGTTCTAAGTTGTAGATATGAGTAATTCTTTAGAGATAAATAGTAAAAGGGAGAATAAGTTGTTATATTTTTTAAAAATATATCTAGATCTTGGTAGTGGAAAACGCTTGAAGGCACGTTCGTTTTGATAGTATTCAGACTGAGCAACCTATTAAAGAATGTAATAAACAGGTGGTTTTATGTAAATCATTATGTAATCATCAGAGTAAAGCCATTCTGCATCCAACAACATTAAAAGCTGTTGGAAAGTTGAAGCCGTTTCTCTGTAGCATTCATGAATATGGGCTTGGACTTGAACAATTGTTTCTCCAAATGTTTATGTTATTAATCTAATGTTTAATTGAGTGTGGCCCCATCAGATTTGCACCAATTACGAATACAATTCTACAATTCTACATTCTGCACACTTTTCCCCCTGAGTAGCTAACAATATTCGACTTCACTCTCCCATGCTTAAACCCATTATTTTAGACATAAGTAAGGCTGCTGCTAACTAACCACCACTCGTATGTGTACCTGTGTCCATGCTTAACCCATTGTAATCATCGCACGTGCCTGGCTGTCTCTGTAACTAACTTTGGCTTGGGCTCCGTTTGGCATTTGGTGGTGGTGTGGTCCCTGCCCTAAACGCAAAACCGTAACCGTAACCAGTATTTTCACCTGTGATGGCAAATGGGAATTCGGAAGACTGGAACCAGTATTTACACTCTCTTGCATTGGTGTGGGTCAACTTCAAAGTGGTTGCAACTGAAAAACTGACACGAAAAACTCCCAAAAAAAATCCACCCTCAACAGCGTTGCAGCTGCCGTCGGTTTCCGGCGACACCAGCGTCACGGATGCCATGGAAACGTCATCGTCGGCGTCGGAGCTCGAGTTCAGGTGCACCACCTCGCACGGACTGCAGCAGCAGCAGTCACAGTACAACGTCGAAGCCGACGAGTTCAAGCTCGTCTTTCTCAACTCGGACTCCTCGTCATCCTGCCGCGAAGAGGAGGAGGAGGACGACACGGACTCCTCCTGCTCCACGCATCACTGCCACAGCATCGTGAGCAATGTGGAGGATTGCGACTGGGACTACTTCGAGCCATCGATGATAGCCTCCACCACGACCACAACGACAATGATTGCGTACACGGCCACGCCCACGCCGCCTCCACGCATACGCCGCAGATCCAGCGACAGCGATTCACCGTTACTCCAGCGACGCCAGCAGCATCAGCAGCATCAGCAGCAGCAGCAGCTGCGCAGCTACTGCCCCCGCATCCGAGAGAGCGACACGGGCACCGGCACCGGCACGGACGAGGAGCTTCTCCTGCACACGGAGAGCAGCTCCCAGACGAGCTCCGATCAGACGGCACCCCCCGTGCCGCCACCCCCGCTGCCGATGAGCATGAAGACGCGGATTAAGACGCGCTTCCTCAAGAGCCATCACCATCATCATCACCATGCGCCGAGTCGCTGCGGATGCAGCGCAGCTGCCGCTCCCTCCCCGCCATCGCCGCCGCAGCAGCCGCAGTATGTGCCCATACCCGTGCCCGTGCCCATACCCGTGCCCATGTCCGCCTACCAGAACTGGCAGCTGGACTATCCGGGCACGGCCAACCCGCTGCTGGAGCAGGACGACCCACTGGCTGCCTCGCTGCAGCAGCTGTGGCAGGCCGCCGCGGCACTGGGCGGCTTCAAGTCTTCCGCACTGGCGGGCTTCAAGTCGTCGGCGCCGGAGCTGAGCGCCTCGCTGGGCTCACTGATGACGCAGTCGCTGTGCTCCACCGCCTCGTCGTCATCGTCGACAACGTCGGGATACGGGACGGCGGCGGGACGCAGCCTGGAGACACTGACCGGCTGTCTCTGCCCGGCAGCCCGAGCTGCCAACTCGTTGCAGCAGCAGCAGCAGCAGCAGCAGCAGCAGCAGCGTCAAATGGCCAGCCCCAAGAGTGGGGCTTCGAAGCCAACAAGTTTAGTAGCGTCGCGCCTTCCGTCGAGTGAGCAGCAGCGAGCAGCGCGCACCCCGTCCGAATCACAAACAAACAACGACGAAGGCAACGCAACGCCCACTACTGGGGGGAGATTGTGTAATGTCTATGACGGAGAGCCAACGGCCCAGACACATGTTGCTGCTGGCGGTGATAAGCAGCCAAAGGGGAATGGTATAGAGAGAGGGCCGCCGATACAGCACAAATACCACAGCCGAAATCTATGCGAAAACGAGCAAACACAAACCAAAACGGCAACAACAGAAACAGAAACAGAAACAGAAACCTACCTGGCCAGAAACAACAGTCAGCGACAGAGCCAGAGCCAGAGCCACAGACACAGCCAAGAAGAAGTGGAAGCAGCAGACGAAACGAATATACATAAAAATCAAGTACCAGCAACAGCAGCAACAACTAGAGCTGAGGCAGCGGCAGCAGCAGCAGCAGCAGCAGCAGCAGCAGCAGCAGCAGCAGCTCCTTCGGCCATAACTCGTTTTGCAGTCGAAAATGTTGGAAATGCTGAAAATGCTGAGATTGTTGCCGCCGCGCCTAGAGAGCAGCACCTAGTAGCTGAAGCAGCAGCATCAGTAGATCCCAATTCCCGTGCCAAGAGTTTGTCCTCCAATCGACTTATAGCCACGAGGGCCACCATGTCCGAGCAGGAGCCACCGAGACGCGAGACAGTGGGCCACTTGCTGAGCGAAAGCTATGCGGCCAGCAGTCCGGATGAGGCCAGCAGCAGCAGCAGCAGCAGCAGTGCAGATGAGGAGCAGGCGGCGCAGAGCCCACGCAAGCTGGTGGAGCGCAGCTACGATGTGGCAGTGGCAATGCAGGCGGAGCTGGAACCAGAGGCAGTGGCAGTGGCAGTCCCAGAGCTGGAGCCGGAGCAAATGCATCACAGCACCACCACCGATAGCAGCAGCAGCAGCAGCGATTCCAGTTCCAGCTCCAGCTCAGAGTCTTGCGATTCGGATGACACGGGCACCGTGGCCGATCGTCGGCCCAAGCGGCGGCGCTTCAACAAGGTGTTCATCGTGAACCGCCAGCCGGGACAGGCTGGACTGAGGGTGCGAGCCAGACGCAGCTCTTCCACGGAGGGAGATTCGCTGTCCTCATCGGAGGCCAATCTGGAGGATTCCTCCGACAATGATACGGATACGGAGCGCACAGATTGCGGCATTGTGCTGAACTATGTGAAGCCACTGGGAGGTGAGGAGGAGGAGGCGGTACAACCTGCACGTGACGCCAACATCAACGTCGACGTCAACGTCAACGTCAACGCCAATGCCTACGCCAGCAGCGACGACGACTGCGATGATGATGAAAGTGAACGACGATGCCGCGTTGCCAACTCAAGCGATGAGCTTGCCAACTGCATTGTGGTCGTGGGCGGGCAGACGGACGACGGCGACGGCGTGGTGCTGCACGGCATGCGATCTCTGCCAGACGCGGAGCCTCAGCAATCAGAGCGCTGCGACTTGGAGCTGGAGCTGCACAGCATCTCGAACGATGTCAACCGGCTGCTGGAGCTGCACAAGCAAAACTCTCAGCTGGAGATGAAGCTGCAGCGACTGCGGCGCGGCGTGGCTGAAATCAATGAGGATCACCTGGCCTCCACATCCACCGCCACGGGCACTGCTGTGGCTGCCACCCAGGGGAAGCCCGAGGAGTGCGACCCACAGGGTGGTTGTTGGTCATCGTCGCCAGGTGGTAATCCACCCGCTTCTCCTTCTCGGAAAAGCATTGTAAATGTTAATTCTAATGACGAAAGCAGCAAAAGAGAGGCACAAACAACAACAGCGCGAAGAGCGGAAGCAGCGGCAGCGGCAGAGGCAGAAGCAGCGAAACAAAACGAAAACGAAGCGAAGGGTAAACACTATGTAAACGAAGAAGCCGCAGCAGCAGCGGCAGCAGCAGCAGCAGCGACGGTCGCCGCTACTCTCGGGTTTACCTGCCATCATCAGAAGCAGGTAAAGGCAAACAACGATAATAAAGTGGTGGCAGCCGTAGAAGAAGAAGAGGAGGAGGCAATGGCAGAAGAGCGACAAACAGCTGTGCAAACTGTGCAAGCGACGACCGAGGGGGAGGAGGAATGCAACGAAGCATGCAAAAATAAAAACTCTCTCGCACCTGAACAGGTACCTGCTCGAGAGTCAGAGAGCGAACGCTCTCACGCGCGCTCTCTTTCTCGCTCTCGTCTACCTGTTGCTCAGGGCCACGCTGATTTCGGAGTCGAAGTGAAGTCGATTTCGGAGTCGCGCTCGTCGTCATTCGAACATGAAATGTTAAACGTTGCGGTCGAGCAGGAGCCGTACGCTCGCACACGGTTGTACCCCAGCAACAACAATAATAATAGTATTGCTAAAAGCAACAACGATAATGGCCATAATGACGCTTTCGCAGCACAAAAGACAAATAGCAGCGGCCAACAAAGCAACAGCAGCAACAGCAACAGCAACAGTGACGTAGTGAATGTGAATGGGCCGTCGCCGCGTGTGTTCGAAAGTTGTGAAAACGACAGCGATTCCGATTTTGACAGAATATTCGGCACACACATGAGCTCGAATACGCTGAATACTTCGGCAACGGCCAGCCCCAGAACATCGCCAGTGGAGGCGGAGGGGAGTGGCAGTCCCTCAGCCAAGAATTCACTTTCGGCCAAGTATCGCAGTTTGGTAATGATCACAAAAGACAACGAAAGTGCAGCAGCAGCAGCAGCAGCAGCAGCTGAAACCACCAAAACAAAGGCCAAAAGCGATTACGACAGCAACAGCTTTGGCCAGAACTTTGGCGGTGACTCATTTCGCGCCATTGAGGGCTCGGATCTCGTGACAAGCGATCGGGAATCGTCGCGCGACTCCTACAGCGTGGATTCCCTCAACGAGCCAACGCCGAAGATCTGCCTGGACGATGGCCTGGCCGACGACGACTCCTGGGTGGAGGAGCTGAGCCAACACGAAAACGATGACGAAGACGAGGATGAGGATGAGGAAGAGGAGGATGAGAATGTCAGCAATGCCACCACCACGCCCACGGCCACGGACTCAGAGGATGCCGATGGGGATGGCGACATGAACAGGCGCCACACCTACATGGACAGGGAGGAGGAGCTGCGCGGCTACAACAGATCCGCCATTGACTTTACGCTGCACACCATCGTGGAGGAGAGCTGCGAGGAGAGCGAGGTGGCCTCCATGCGGGCGGACAACGAGGATGCCGACGAGGAGGAGGATCTGGCCGAGCGTCGCCGCCAGCGCACGCTGCAGCACCATCACCGCCTCAGTGCCTCCGAGCTGGAGAAGTATTTCTTCTTTGGCCTCGGGGATGGCAAGGTGATGAGCTCCATTGACACGCGGGGCGACGACACCGCCTCGGAGGTGAGTTCGGAGTGCTCCGAGGGCATGGACTCCCTGCCACACGATGAGCAGCTGCTGGATGGAGGCAACAGTGCCACGGATCTCGCCTCATCCCGCCTGGAGAAGTATTTCCTCTCGGGATTCATGGGCTTCAGCGGTGGCGAGAAGCAGGCGGAAAGCGACGAGAGCGGCGGCAGCGTGGGCAGCGACAGCGAGGGTCATCCCAGTCCCAGCCAGCGGAGGAAACGTCTGGTCCGCGCACGCGGCACTCCACGCAGCCACAACTCCTCGCTGGACAACCTTCTGCTGCCGGAGACGGACACCCTGGATGCCACCACGACGGCTGCCATGACTGTGGAGGATACCTCCGAGTCGGAGGCTGGCTGCGACGACACCGTCATCCATCTGGCCAATGCGGGCGCCTCTGATGGCTCCTCCTCCGACACCATCAAGCGGAAGAAGCAGCTGCGCAAGCGCCACGACTCTCTGGACGAGAAGAAACTGCACGAGGATGCTCTGGCGCTGGGTGGCGGCCCCGAGTGCCGCACGCCCACTCCAGGGTCGATGGGTGGCAGCTCCAGCCACTGCCAGGGACAGGCCAAGAAGCAGCAGCATCACCACAGCCGCGACAGCGGCTTCGTGGGCAGCAACGATGATCTGCTGAAGGCACCCGACTGCGAGCCACCGAAATCTCCAACGCCTGCGCTCGAGCAAATCAGCGAGGATCGTGAGCCAGCGCAGGCTCTCAGTCTGGCCAAGTTGGAGCTGCCCAGCACCTCCGCATCAGCATTGGCCAGTGGAGCGTCCGTGCAGGGGCAGCGGCCGAAGCTAGTGCCTCCCGTGACGACCAGTTCGAATCTGGTGCGGAAGGACAGCTTCAACAACTGGAGCTCCGACGAGGAGACCAACCTGATGATGAGCAAGATGCGGCAGTTCTTCAAGACGCTCATCGTGGCCACGGCCAATGCGCAGCAGAGCAAACCCACCACACCGCCCACACCCACCGGCACCACAGCAACAACAACAACAACCACAACGACGCCCAACTCCCAGCGGAAGTTGGCCAAGACGCGACCCGCACAATTGGCGTACTTCGAGAACGAACTGACGCGCCTCATGAAGACCGTGCCGGGCATCAACGACGAGCAGGTGCGCGAGATTGTGGAGTACCTGAGCAGCGAGGACACGTGGTCGGACTCGTACGACTCCTCGGACTACACCAGCTCCGATTTGGAGGGAGGCGAGCGCAAGGGACACCTCAAGGCACAGATCTCGGCCAGCTGCCAGCAGATCATCAACAAGTTCGAGGTGGACGAGGAGGGCGATCGCGGCGATGGCGGACTGCTGGACGAGGTGCAGAGTCTGAACGGAGACACAGCTTTGGTCTACCAGAAGCTGGTGGCTTCCTTCAGCAAGGTGGCAGTGGGAGAAGCAGAGCAGGAATCCCCTGAAATGGCTGCACAGGAGCAGCAAGTGGATCCGGAGTCAGGGGGCAGCACGGAGCAGCGATCGCCGCAGCTCTTTGCCAAGGTAATGCAACACATTGGCACCCGCCTGGTGGCCCTGATGCACGAGGTGAGCAGTGGCAATGAGACGCCAACACCATCGCCAGCCACGGGCCAGGGACAGACGCGTCACCATCGACGGCTGCAGGCCAAGATCTCGGCCACAACGACAGAGGACGAGGAGGATGAGGTGGAGGAGCAGCTGCGGGCGATGCCCATCAAGCAGCTGAAGCTGCGCAGCAGATCCCACGATCTGCTCCTGGACGGAACGGGACCCCACACGCATGGCCATGCGCATCCCTCGGGAGTGCATCATGCAGCGGGATCGGCAGCAGGACACGGAGCAGCAGCAGGACACGGAGACAATGCAGGGGAGGAGTGCGGAGTGGCCAGCGACTACGAACGGTTCTCGTGGCGCGGCAGTTTTGAGTCGGCATTACTGGCTAATGGCGACAGCAGAACGAGGCTCAGTCAGCTGAGTCAACTGGACAGGGACAACTCGTCGTCTGCGTCCGCTTTGGCAGTAGCAAAGCGCCGATCGGCAGGCGATCTCCTCTTCAGTCAGCACCAACAGAGCCTCAGCCGCGAGCAGCTGGACCGCGTACGATCCTGCGGCAGCATTGGCGGCGGCGATGCGCACCATCATCAGCTGGAGGCCTCGCCGGCCAAGCCGTGGCTCTCCTCGGCGGGCTCCTCCATTGGCGGTGACTCCGCCAAGGATGTGCGTCGCTCCAGCGTACCGGATGCCATCTACGAGACGGACTCCAGCGATGAGGGCAACGCCCCGAGCCAATTCAGCGGCGCTCGCTCCACCCTGCCACGCAGCCTGACCAGCGGCGGCCAGGTGGCCAGCACCAACTCCCTGCCACGGTTGCCCACCTCCTCGGTGGTTGCGGGTGCGGCGGGGCCCATCACCAGCACGCCCAAGACCAAGTCGCAGAGCGCCCTCAACCACACACCCTCCAGCTCCGCCAGCAGTGCCAAGAGTGCACGCTATCGCTCGCCCGGACTGGCAGCCCGTGCCGCTGCCGCCAGCAATAACAGCAGCAGCAGCAGCAGTGCTGCCGGCGGAGCTGTGGGTGGAGGCGGAAGTGCCGCCACCACCAGTGGCAGTGGCAGCAAAAAGCTGGGTGCGGGCTTCCAGTTCCTGTACTCGAAGCGCGATGCGCGCAAACGTCTCAACATGTCAGCGGGTGAGTTCTCCTGTCTCGTTTAGTGTTTGCCTTTGAATATCCTACGAACTGCTGGAGGCCGCACCTTACTCCTTGGGGTGGGGATACACGCACAGGCTTCAGGCTGGGCGTTTGCACAGGTCAAATATCTGTGCTATGAAATTGCTGTGTTCTTAATGAAAAAATTCCTCAAAAAACTACTCAGGCAGGAAAAGAGGCGGTTGTATGTAACGTGCAGAAAAGTGTAGGAACTATACGAAATTCAAGCACTCTTACCATGTTCCACAGATTCCACAGGCCATTGATGGTTGACTCGCTACGCACAAGCGTAAGCAGCAAAAGAGAATGATCGAGAATCGAGTTTCGCTGGTAGAATGATTTGTTTTCTATTGATTTTTCAAATAATTTTACTATTTCTACAGCAGCAGCAATATTGATGGAATATGTAGGGCATTTTTTTCCCTTTATAACTCAGATTTGGTTTATAATTGCTTTGTTCATAAAACTACAGAAAATATTAACTCTACTCGAGCACTTTATTAGCCCACAATTTTGATAACAATTGGCGAGCAAAGGCCATTCCATGCTGCTGATGATGATGACAATTATGTTAGTGCCAAACACTCGGAGACTCAATCAACAGACAAACAGACAAACAGACAACAGAGACATTTGGTTCCGCCGGCAGCTGTTTTGCCCGAAATAAGCCCAATCAAGGTCAATTAACTGTATCCATATTGAGCTCTTGAGTCGCCTCTCTTCATCAGTCATAGCCCCGACTGGGGCTAAGTTGCCAGTTGGCGTCTAAACCGATTTTCGCACTCTTGCGTTGTGTGTTTGGTGGATAGAAGTAGACCCGAGTATCTCGTATCTGGTATCTGGTATCTGGTATCTGTAGCTGTGGGCTATGGCTGTATGTAGCTGTAGCTGTCCATGTGAAGTGCCTAAAGTTGTGTTCCGCTTGGCGGGGGCGTCTCTTGTTTGTTGTTTTCTATTCATTATTTAGCCAAAAGCAAGAAAAAACAACAACAAGAACAATTATACTCTACACACACCAGTCCCTCAGTCCGTCAGTCAGTCAGTCCCTGGTCAATGGAACTCGAACTCGAAACTCAAAAACCCGGCACTACTGGGTGCACGCGGGGCTTTGAACTTAGCTAGAGATGTGTGGCCAGGAGATGGTTGAATGAGTTGTAGATCCGATGAGGAAGCGAGGGATTATCGAATAAATCATTAAAAATATTTCATTAATTTAAAATCTGTTAAAGCGTGGAAATTTTCATAATTACTTTGGGAGAAACTTAAAGAGAAATCTCGCTGCAAGTGAAACAATTTTTGGTGGCTTTCCAAAACATAAATAAAACAGATCATTTATTTATTTTAATAGCTAATTATCCCCAAGATATTATGAGCTTCAGCAGACACACACAAATTGATTTGGTACAACTGAAATTTCCTGTTGAATAATTACCCTCACGCTGCCATCTCAAACAGAGTTTCGGTTTGGCCCCCATGGACCCCCTCTTTGTTTACACAGTTTCGTTTGTGGTGGTTTTGGCCAAAATCGTTTGTCTTTGCGGCAACTTGGCCAAAACACAATTAAATAGTTGGCCCGCTGTATCTCTGTCTCCGACAATATTGAACTTCTATATACTAATGCTTGTTCAGAGTTAAGCTCTTGACGTTGATAGAGAGCCGCTGCCGCTGCCGCTGCCGCTGCCACTGGTTTGTTTCCTCGTATTTCCTGCACAATTAATGCCTTTCGTTGCCCACCCAAAACAGTTGACACTGGCCAAAAGAAGTGGTTGTGTACGAGTAGATGTTTTTCCACATTTATTTTCGTGCATCACTGCTTCCACACTGGAGCGTTGGTTGTGCGGAAATGATTGTTCCAGCACCAGCAGTGCTCCATTGCCATGGTGTGTCTGTGTCTATGTCCAAGCCCGTGCCCATCCGGCAACCGTTTAAGTGTTTTGCACCAAAACAAAGCCAAAAGCCAACAGCAGCTATGCAATGCTATGCAATGGCATGCAATATTATTGCCGTAAAACAATTTTCACAATTATGCAAATAAAAACGGAGCTACAATTAACGCTGCCATAGCGGATGTGCCAACGAGAGGAGAGCACCGGCACGAGAGCACCCTGTAAAACACAACTTGGGTATCGTCTCTCGACCAGCGCTCGTTTGGCCATCAAATTCAATTAACCTTTCTGCCACCGAGACCGAGAATACCCAGAAACGAGAGAGAGAGAGAGAGATCTCTATTTATTTGTTGTTCATCGCCAAGTTGCGATGAACTGGCGAGGGTTGAGCGAAAATATCCATAGATACGCTGGGGATTGGATCTATACCAAAGATTAGTTCTACTTGTGGCATTTGACACAACATTTTAAGCGGGCCTGGAAGCAGCAGAAAACTTTCCCACACCCACTCAATGTTATACTTTATTTCTGCTTTCGTTCTCCCCAAAACTTCTACCCAACTTATGTGGCATTCTGTGAGCACCCCTCGCTGTTGAACTGCCTTACGTTTCGCTCGTCTGTTAATTGCACTTTCATTGACTAGGCGCCGCCCCAGGCGACCCCAAAGTTCAATATTTAAATAATTGAATAAAACTTAGATTTCATCCACTGCATTCTCGCGGGGTTCTGGCACTGGCTCCCAGCTATGCTTCAGTTGCTGCGCCTCGTCTAACGGGACTGGAGCTACAGCTACCCGAACGCGATGCGCTCTATAAGTTGCCCCGCGAATTCCGATCTTAACTCCGTCAATCCGCAGTGAAAGTGAAGTGAAGTGAAGTCTGTTTTGACTTTTTGTATTCCGCTTTGCCTTGGGGGGGGTTTTCGTTATTTTTGGTTGTCTCTGCCCTGCCCCCCACTCACGTTTATGGGCGAAAATAATACGCGTAGAAGTGCCATAAATAAAATGAAAAATCATGCAAAATATACACAAGTATATGTAGATGTAGATGTAGATGTAGATGTATTATGCTGTGTATTGTGTGTGTCAACAAATCGTGACTGCATTGACAGCACTTTTACTGCCACCCCAAACACCCCTCGAAACAGTTAAACACTTTTAATGTGTGTATTTCTGCCTTTAATTGCACTCTCGGATCAAACCCCCCACACTTTGCCTGTAATATGACCCACTTCTGTGGGTGTCTGCTTTGCTTATCACTTCTTTTTGTTGTTTGTTGTTGCTGCTGCCAGCCAGCCAAGCCCTCAAACCCAAAGTATTTCACACCCACTCCGTCTCAAGGCTGTTTCGTTGGAAGCTCAGGGCCACTCAGAGAGCTGTCTTTAATTTCCAAACTTAATTAAATGGGGCCAGTTGGGCCATGCAAATGGCTCTAGCAACGATCGAGTGGTCCAATTACCACAGTGGCCACAGCCTGAACCCAAGTGTCGTCAGGCATCTATCTTATCAAAGGGTCTGAGCAATCAATGGAATTCTAGGCCTTATCGGCAGGGGGAAACTGCTTTAGATTTCAAAAGTGCTGATAGCACAGGCAAACTATTTTATCGAACAAGAAATGGGTTGGGTTTTTGCAGTAGCTCAGAGCTTTCTGGCTTTCAAAACAAATGAAATATCATTGGGTTTTTTGCACACATTTTCCATGGCTCAAACCTTTCTAATGAGCGCTCCAGCGTGGTTGCCCCATGCCGTTGCACAAAGCACAGGCAATTGAGCAACAAAACTCCACTCTGATGGCCCCCTGGCAACTGTCAACTGGTTGCTCAAATAAAACTTTTTGCAGTCCGCTGCGCGTATGACACCAAAAATCGAATGAATCCCAATTCCAATTCCAATTCCAATTCCAAATGAGAAAATGAAGCGAGTGACTCGCTTAATTGGCCCGCGGCGTGCGGCAAAGGCCGTGAAGCCAAAAGAAGCCACCAGCTACAACGCTTTTGTGTCGCTGCCCCAAAAGTCGACGCCCTCGGGGGCTGCGGCACCCATTGCTCGGGTGCACAACTATGGCAGAGGAAAGGCGTTATCAGCGGCGGCGACTGGCTCCTCGCTGCCCTCCAGTTCCGCTGGCAAGATCCAGTACGCGGCGCTCAATCGCATGCGCAAGAATCGATCCGCCGACAATCCGCCCAGCCAGCGCCCACGCAGCACCAAATGGCGGCGGCTGCTGGGCGCCTGCTGGTGGCGGCGAAGACGACGACGCCCGCGCAGCTACAAAGATTATTGGGGCAGCGGCAAGCCCAAGCGGAGTCTCTGCTGCTGCCGCTGGGGCAGGGCACGGGCAAAGGCGTACAGCTGCGACTCCGACGAGGAAGACGACGACATCGATGCCAAGGTGGCGGCCTACATTGTGGAGATGAAGCAGCGCGAGGCAGTGGCCAGTCAGCAAAGTGAGAAAGTGAAGGATACTCAGTTCCAGGAATCCAGCATCCGCCTGCCACAGCAGCAGCAGCGGCAGCCACATCCTCAGCTGCGAAAAGTCTCCTTGCGTGACAAGCCCAGAGCCTGGACCTGGGATGATAGTCTGCGGTCCAACTCTGATAGGTTCCTGGAAACCCTCGAGGAGGAACTGCCAGTTGTTGCTGCTGTTGCTGTGCCTGGTGGCAGAATGTCCCTCATCCTGCCGCGTCGCACGCCGCTGCATGTCCACTTTGTGGAGAGCGAACAGCAGGACAATCAGGAGAAGGAACGGGAAGCGGTGCAAGGTAGGCGGCACTCAAGTTTGCCTGCTGCATGCACCTTGCACTGCTTTCCCCGACTGCAACTTCACTTTGTCCCCTCTTGAATGGGAATTAAAATATGAAATTTATGTGTGGAAAACGCTGACAACTTCCACTGATTAGCCTAGCTTTAATTGTGGAAAACTCTTGTGTGTTAATGCAACAATTTTCTCTTTGCAGAAGAGGCCAAAGTGGCTGCCGAGGAGCTGACACGTTCGCCGGTGATTGGACAGCGGCAGGCGGCGGAGCAGGCCGCCACCGCCAGTCCCGTGCAGTCGCGTGCCTCCAGCGAGGCCTGGCCGGTGCAGTCGGACGAGGACATTGATCGTCTGGTGGCCATGCATCAGAATCGCAGCAGTCTCAGCTCTTTGGGGGTAGGTTAAAGGTTGATAAAAGTTAAACTTAAAAGCGAAACTAATCCCCTGTTCTGCCCTGCAGGTTCGCTCGGAGTCCATGGCCAGCGTTTACTCTGGCGCTGGTGAGGGTCGCTATGGCACTGTGGTGGTCAAGGGTCAGGTGGAATTTGCCATGCAATACAACTACAAGCTGGCCGCCCTGGAGGTTCATGTGGTGCGCTGCAAGGATCTAGCCGCTGTCGATGCCAAACGCAATCGCAGCGATCCCTATGTCAAGGTTTGTCTTACTTTTTCTTTACTATAACTGAGCTCTATGCTGATGTTTGGTTTACTCTTTAGGTATACCTGCTGCCGGATAAATCAAAGGCTGGCAAACGCAAAACCAAAGTCAAGAAGCACACCCTCAATCCCATCTTTGATGAGACGATGCGTTTCCACACGCCCATCTCCAGCCTGGAGTCGCGCACCCTGTGGCTGACTGTCTGGCACTCGGACATGTTCGGGCGCAACGACTTCCTCGGCGAGGTCTCTGTCAATCTGCAGGGACGCGTCTTTGACAATCCCCAATCGCAGTGGTATCTGCTGCAGGAGAGGGTAAGTGCAGCATTCAATCTGTGGAGTTTCCATACCTAACAAACGATCATTTGCAGAGCGAACCCTTCGATGAGGTGGCCACCTATCGAGGTGACATTGTGGTGGGCCTCAAGTACATTCCACCCGAGAACCTGAAGTCTTCGTTCTTCTCGCGCGGCTCCTCGCTCACGGGTAGCTCCTCGAATCTGCGCAAATTTGGTGGCAGCATCAAGTCCGTGGCCTCAAAGTCGGATCGCTGTGCAAAGGGCGGACAGCTGCATGTGCTGGTCAAGGAGGCCAAGCATCTGAGTCCCATCAAGGCCAACGGCAGCTGCGATGCCTTCTGCAAGAGGTAAGCTTATCTGTGACTCTCCTTCCCTCAGTATGTTAATCTGTGATCAAACCTCTTTCAGTTATTTGCTGCCTGATCGCACGCGCAGCTCCAAGCAAAAGACGCCAGTGGTGAAGCGCACGCTGCATCCCACGTGGAATTACACCTTTGTCTATGAGGATGTCTCGCTGGAGGACTTGTCGGAGCGCGCCTTGGAGCTGACAGTCTGGGATCACGATCGACTGGCCAGCAATGAGTTTGTCGGCGGCATTCGTTTCTCCTTGGGCACGGGTAAGTCAAAGATTTATCTCTCCTCGAATCGGTCAACTAATTTCGAATTAATTCCACCCAACAGGTCGCAGCTATGGCCGCCAAGTGGAATGGATGGATGCCACTGGCAAGGAGCTATCGCTGTGGCAGAACATGCTGGATAGGCCCAATTTCTGGGTGGAAGGTAGCCTAGTGCTACGTTCCAGTCTGGATGGCATACGAGCCACATTGCCATAGGAGCAACCGCTTGCATATTAGTAAATTATTTGCTAGAATCCACAAACCACAAAGCCACAAAGCCACAAAGCCACAAACCCCACAAAAGTTGCAGTTAGAGTTGCCCACGGCACATTGTATTGTATTGTATTGTATTAACTATCGATTAAGCTACGATGACAGTCGATAACGATGACTCTGAGAAGCATTATTAGTGTTCTAAGCATTGGCATAGTCACAGCAGACTGACTGGCCTAATTAATTGATTGTTGTTTGTGTTTGCACGTGGCCTTGCAGCCACAGTTAGAGTTAAGTTGAAGTGTGTGTAGGATGATGATTCCTGAATACTCGAATATGGCAATGACGCTGCATGTAGCCTGTACCCCAGCCGTAAATAAACCGAGCAAACAAAGCAGAACAAAGCGTTATCAAGCGTTAAAGCGGCGCAACTCTCAGCGCAGATAAAAGACAACAAAAAAACTAAAACTGTAAAGCAAACACCATGAGAACAGAACTACAGCATGAAGCGATGATAATGATGATGAAGATGATGACGCAGCCCAAGGCCTGGGCTGCCTTAGATATAAGCTCTACGATGTTCATGTGTATTCTTTCCAACCTCTCTCTCACCCCTCTCACCCTCTCTGAGAGGCACTTGCAATTGGCATACTGTATGCACCTAAAAGCTAAACGATAAACGATAAACGATAAAAGCTACAACTAAAATATAACTAAAATATATAGTTGAAACGAGACATAAGTTTACCATGTATAACTATCCATAAAAATGCGCGAAAATACAAATAACATTTTTTGTAAATTTGACTCTTTTGATTTCCTTTACGTTTGCTTTTGTTTTTGAATAGATCATAAGCAGAAGGCATACATATCGCAAGAAACATTGTGCAACATTCAGCTAAGCTTCGTGTCCACCCAAAAGAAATCCAAATCCAAATCAACTCAACTCAAGAGAACAGTACAGCTTAATCCCCATAGCAGCCAATGGATGTCATTCTCCCTCGAAAACCTTTAAGCTACTGTGGAATTTACATATGGAAGTGTAGTGAATGGTAGCGACTATGGTGTATGGCCAGCCCCTCCTGATTCGGATAGGCGGGGTTGAGCAGCTCTACTATAAACAAAAATGAATTGTTTCAGAGAAATCATTTTTAAGAATAAAGAAACGAGTCTTATGAATGCTTTTGGTGTAAGTGTTGTATACATATTTACCATGAATACCATAATACAAATCAAATAATGTTTAGAGTTGAATGAAACATTGAAAAATATGACAAAATTTATAGAAGATGTTTTTTATAAAAGAGATAATTGCTGAATCACTCGTTGCCTAAATACCGCTTGTCTTTTATACTCGATGTTTTCGAAACACACACACAAACACACACACAATTTGGTGATGAACAATGATCGGTAGAGGTAGTAGTGGCAGAGTCAGAGTCAAAGTCAGAGGAGTAACTCTCAGAAAAGATATTGAAAGAGATAAGAATACTTTCGCTAAATCAAGCATATATGATATACATATGTCAAACAATAAGCAGCAACTATTGCAACAGAAAGGAAATGGTATTTAGTAGCATAAAAAAGCGCAATGTAAGAAAAGCATAAATATACATAATTATATGGATGGTGCATAGATGTACTCTATGTAATTTGCATCTACACAAATAGTTTATAATCTAAGATTAAAGCGTTTGCTGTTGTGTTGATTGGTTCTCTAGTCTAGCCATTCAATTTGTTGAGATCCCAATCACACCCACACATATACACACAGACATGTAGGATATAGTTTATTAGTCTCTCGTCTCCAAACAAACAAAATGTTTCAATGTTTACTACATGTATATTTTTCTACTATATTACTTACTTCTTACCACCTAAACGAGCCGTAGTGTAGGGAATATCCTCCTAGGAATATGAGTGCATGGAATGGATTGGAAATTGTGTTTTAACAATGGATCGACCCTTACTTAACCCACTTACTCTCTGAGATGGTGCTATACATATATTTATACATACATAAACTATACTCTCTCTCCCTCTCTCTCTCTCTGTCTCTCTATCCACCGCTAAGACACTCTCTCAGGTGGCGGTTGAATGTCGCAAGGAATCTCTTTTTACCTTTTTACCTTTTTACCTTTTTACCTGTGTATTATATTGGATGTGCATTTCGGATTCCACTGAACTATTGTGAAACTAGTGTGTTGATTATACATATACGATATATACATATGGAATGCAGTCTTCATATACATACCACCAACCTATCTACTATACACATCTACTGAGATACATTACCTATAACTATAGCGAACACCTTTACAAGCAATGCGTACACACTCGCAAACGCAATAGTCTTAAGTACTTTCAGATATTAGAACACATGTTATAAGACCGAGATCTTAAGCTAAGAAAACAAGAAACCATAGCAATTAGGATATTTCTGATGGCGTTTTTTGACATTGCCCGCAGCAGGCATTGCACTACACAAATTATGCGTTACGTTACAGATAAAAGATACAAATATCAGAAATACAACAAATATTTATGTACCCATTGTATTTGTTAGCAATCGCCAGAATGGCTCAGAGCGGAAACAGCAGAAAGCGATTATCAAATATTTTTGCATTTTCGCTTGTGCATACGAGTATAAGCGCCCCCGTATAGGCCGTTGAGCCACGCCCCAAAATATACATGTTGCGTTAAAGTAGAGAAACTTTTGTTAGCGAAAACACACACACACACACACAGATATACATACAATATATATAGACACATAGATACTGATTAATGTTGCGGTTGCCTTCCTGTTAAGTAGCCAACCCGTGGCGTACTCAACCCGATCTATCCTACCTAAGTACTGCCCTGAGAACAATCTTTTTACATGCAATAAGTTACACATTAATGTTCTATGTATTAGATTTCCTAAGTTCTACCTCAAAACTGATTAAAATTGTCTTTCAAGCTATAGGAAAATGAATCTAGCGTGCAACCAGCGACTGTGTGATCCGAACTCTACATTTTTCACACTTCGATTTTAAGCATTAATTCTGTGCAGAGAGTTTTTTGGTTGCTATTTTCCAGGCAATTCTCTAGCAAGACTTTCTATACACACACACACAGAAACACACATACAAGGCCGTTATGTTTATGGCATTTAAGCGTTGCATAATTACAAAGAGTTTACATAACCATTTACAAAGATACAAGATACAAGATACAAGATATGTACTTATGAAAACACTTTTACTTACAAGTAAGTACTTAATACATGCGACAAAGGAATGCCGTCGATACACGAATACCACAAATTTAAATAATGAGCTCAAGAAATTGGCTCAATATGCCGCGGAAGCCGGCTCGGTCTCTCGCTCCAAGTAAAAATTGTGTTAGGAATTGTGAACCGCAATGAAATCAATCAAATAAAGCAAAATTCACATCTACTGACAGCCATCCTTTGTGTTGTTTCTTTTCTAATACCTATTGGGGGGGGATCACATTGGATGCTGACTACACTTCAGCCTCCGTTCCAGGCTGGGCGGGCTGTTGACCATTGACCATCGGCTGCAGTTTCAGCTCTTCGGCAGGCTGCTTGGACACATCGTCATCGTGGCGTCGCCAACAATCAAAGGAGAGCATGGACTCGCCCTTGCCAAAGGCCTCGCCATCAGCCAATGTGATGGGAAGTTGTCTGTAAGTAATTTAAATTTAACTCCACGTTATATGAACTCAGTGGTGCCCTCCTCACCTGTTGTTCGTCTCCGGCAGCATAAGCGTGCAAAAGGAGGCTGTCAGCAGTAACAGCGCCAGTATCAGGGACGTGGCTGCTGCCAGTTTGGTGCCCAAATGTATGAGGTAGGGCGACAGAAAGGAGGCACCTGCGGCAGCCAAATGCACTGCAGCAATGCCCCGTGATCGGACACACGTGGGCAGCAGCTCGGAGGCGTACTGCGAGGTGACAGTGTAGCTCAAGGAGATGCCCAGCCTCATGGGCAGGGCAAAGGACAGCAGCAGGGTCACACTGCTATGTGCACCCTCCATGGACAGGGCCACGCCCAGGGCGCAGGACAACAGTCCCGTGCAGAGCATGGCCAAAAATGCAGTGGCCTTGCGACCCACACGACTCTGCAGGAGCCCCTGGATGAAGCCCGATGGTGGGACAACAACAGCAAACAGCGAGAAGACCACAAAGGGCGACATGCCCAGGCCCTCCACATTGCGGGAAATGGTGTTGAAGCTCAGCGAAGTCAGCATGCTGCAGGTGGATAGATTCATGAGAGAAAGTTCTTATTGCTCGACAGACAAACCTACAATATCAGCACCACCAGCAGCGAAATCTTGCGTAGATTGGGCGTTCGCAGCAGGTCAATGATGCCAGCCGTCTGCTCCGGCTGATTCGATAACTTCCGCTTGGCTATGCAATTCCTGCGGAATGCCTCAAAGTCCGCTGGCGGCACTTGGCGGCCATTGAAGTGTGCAATGTGCTTCAGCCTGGCAATGGCGCCCTCCACATTGGTGCGTGTAATCAGCCACTGGGCGCTCTCCTGCACCACAAAGTAGAACAAAGCCACCACCAGCTGCAGCAGGGCCGAGCAGGTCAAGTAGATGCGCCAATTGCCGGCGAGCACCGATAGCCAAGGTGCCACCAAAGCGCCCAGGCAGAAGCATATGCCCAGTGTGCCGCTAATGGCCAAATTCCTCAGCTTGGGGGCCAAGTATTCCAGAACTAGAAAGATCAAAGTGGGTGTGTAGGGTGGAAGACGGAAGATCAGGGTCTTTTTCTATGGGTGTATACAAGTACATAAGTACTACTCGCATGCGGGTTACATTTTAAACCAAGTGCAGAGCCTCATTTAAGGGTTACCAAACACTCTGTTGTTCATTTTGATCTTTCTACATACACTTACATATGTACATAATAAAAACAGTGGAGAGTACGCTATGGCGTGCTCAAGATATCGCAATGCTTACCCAGAATAAACATCAGATAATAATTGGCTGTGGCCGCCAGACCCGAAATGCACCGAAAGCTGGCAAATTGCACCAGATTCGTGGCGTAGGTGGTAAGGAAATCGCCCACGAAACCGCATTGATTGGCCAGGATCACGGCTCGCACTCGACCAATTCTGTCGCCCAGCATGCCAAAGGTGAAGGTGCCCATGAGGGAGCCCAGAAAGAACAGCGACTGGCCGATGCGTGCCTTGTAGGCATCGTCGCAGACCCAGTTGAGCTGCACCACAGAGAATGGCATTACAATCATGGCTTTTAGCTGGCTAACCTCTGGCTCACCTCAGCATTCATGCTCCTGAATCCATAGTCGTAGTTGTATATCCAACGCTGACATGCCTTGCTGCTGACCGTCAGATTGTTGCCCTCGATCTTATCCAGCCGCGTGCAGGAGGCATCTTTGCCAAAGGGCGCGTAGACCGCTGCAATCTCCTCGAAGCTGCGATCCACCAGCTGCTCATGGTAGCACCAATGCTGCGGCACAAACCCAATGATGTTCTGTGAGTAGTAATGCACTGTTGTGGTGAAGGCTATGTAGCCGAGCAGCAATATCATGAGGTACTGATAGCGACCCGCATTTCCGCACTTCTCCAAGATCTTGTCAAAGTCCATGTCTGTGATGACAAGTCGGACGCTAGGGTCGTTCTCGTGCTGAGATTCTATTAAGACTAAGCCTCAGCTGATCCAAGCAGATGCGAAACCTCGAAACGACTGAGCGACTGAGCCGAAACGACGCCAAAGAGTGGAAGGAAGGTGCCCGAATTCGCACGTTGTGTGCCTCCGTCTCTGTCTAGCTC